GGTGGAGGACGCGGAGGAACAAAGAGGTTTAATTACATATACGAGAGTGATTACGTGAGATACGTGGTAGTGATCTCAAGCGTTGAAGTCAAGCACTGAGAATGAGACTGAAAGTAAAATCATTCCTCTTACATTCAAATAAAAAGCGCCTCTGAAACAACCAGTATTTCTATTTGGTTTTCTGGTACGTCCTTTGAAATAGTTCGCAAGATATCCAAAACTGAAAGCTGCACAGTTGTCAGCTTTACTACGGTTAAGATTTCCTTTCGTCATTTAGAAAACAAAGTTAAAGACCTTAATTTGGCCTAGACATCAAGAAACATAGAAAACACGGTTTTTCTTATTTCATTCACGCAGAGCAAAAAATTGATTGTTTGCCAGTTGGGTGTTCTGTACGATTTGCCTACATTGATTCGCAGATAACGGAGAAAAGAGCACCAGAGCCAAATACTTTATGGAAACTGTTTTGCAATGAGGACGGGAATGACTTCTACACTGTTTCAAGGCTTAAAGAATTGCCAAGAGTAGCGGCTTCCTGTTGTCCTAACCTTCGTTAGTATGAAAAGAGATTGAAAAGCTAAGTCTACCATAGCCGCCTTGCAGTGAAGGACAAGCTAGATTGGAATGAGAGGTATGGAAGTTGATGAGATGACGCACTTCAACTTTGTTCTGCCAAAGGAGGTACTTTTGGTTCAGAACTCACAAGAGGTTCATAGAATAGACTTTTATATGTTAAATGATTCAGCGCGTAAAGGATAACAAATACCAATCACTAGTATCGCTGCTGCTGGGTAAAACTTTGAGTGAGCCTAACTGTTATTTTTATTGAATAAAACGAAAATGGTGCACACCTTAATTAATGGTGCAGCGATTCTTCAAAGGGCGAACTCGCTACTTTTCTTCCAGAGTACATTGAGTAAAAGCAGAAGGACATGAGAGACAATTGCCTTTGTCTCTCAAGTCCTTCCACGATTTCACTCGATGTAGATGTCGACTCTGGAAGAAAGTAAAAGAAAAAGTAACGTCTAAGTGCTTCGAAGCTAGAGAAAGTGATGAATCTTTTACTCTACCTAAATCTGTTTTATGACTGCAGCTGGGAATCATAAATAAATGTTGCGAATGAGGAAGATCCAAAACAAAGGAAAAGTCAACTTTTTTTTTGCAAGTAATTCTAAATGCTTCCAAATCAATATGAAGATCGGCTGATATTATCACACGTTTACGCACAGCTTGACGCCGCGGGGGGAAAGATCGGTTTGCCGAAATCCAAGCCAGTTTCTTCTAATGTGTTTTTTCCTCAGAGTTGGCGCGATTTCTTCATGTAAATGTTTTATTCAATTTGCTAGCGGTGTGGTACGAGTGCGCTAGCGAGATACTAAACCTTATGAAAGTCTTTTTTCATTATGAACTCATATTCACCCCGAGCACTTTTGCAGCCTTCTGATCTCATGTAGTCAATTCACAATGCAATAAAACCAACGCTCACTGACAAGAGAACGACACGCCGACGCTGAGCTTGTGCGCGAGAAATTTGGAAAATTAGCTGTTTTTGAAGCCGAGAACAATAGCATGTGATTTTTCCAGGTTTTTTTTTCATAACTCTTCTTTTCCAGAAACAAGAAGGTTTCGCTATTGTAGATCTGTCTGTTTATTCATGATTTCAACGATTCATGCCCATTTCGTGACTTTTCGTTTTTCGCGCAATATTTTCGTATTCACTCTTTTCTTTCCCATTCTATGTTTCCTGATGAGTAGCTGGATAAGGACTTTCTGTAGCCATTGCCTTCTTTGCATGCTCCGCACCGAATGCGAAGACACTTTGGGTTTATGCCAGCGGATTTACTTTTTTTGTGATCGATCGACGTGAAATACGATTCACGTTTGCAGAAAAAGCCAGCATTTTATCTCATTTCTTGCGCTCGTAACTCAGAAACTCGGCGAGCTGTCGCTTCCTCCGCAAGCGTTTTTATCACCTTGTTACTTTCAACTAGTAACTTATTGGTCAGCAAAAAAATAAATTCTGAACGAAACAACCTGAAAAATGTGAATTTGATGAGGAATTTTACTGACTTAGAACTCAAAAAGAATAGCTAATCAGATTGCCAGGACTTAGTATGCACTTAGAACACTGAACAGTACGGGATCTGAGGAAAAAAAGGCTGAGATTCTCGTTTTTGTGTCGTGCATTCGTTCCGCATCCTATCGCCTTCTGATAAAAGTTCCGATTTTGTTAAATAGGCACAGCAACACTAGAAATGGATTGATCTGCGAGAAGTCGATCCTTGCTGTATTGCCGTATTTGCGCACTTTCGTGCAATCGCTCTGAATCACCCGATGATATCGCACGATAGTATTGCGCGTTTATATCGACCGATTGAAGGCAAAGTTATCCAAACAAACCCCAATTTCTGTGCCAATGTAGCGATCTCTTGCGTCTCGAGCAGTACACGACATGCATTTGCCAATGACTTTGTTCTCTTTTGAAGAGTACCAGCGACGAGATGATGAGGAGACGGTATCGGAACGAAGTGAAGAAGATAGGAAGTGAAACAATCAGAAGAAGACAAAGTGCATAAAACACCATCAAGTGCCAGAAAATGGAATGAAGACGTTCTCCGATTGCGAGACGTTCGCAGCGTTCTGTCAAGCGGCAGAAACGTGGCGCGATGTTGATGAAGTAAAATCGCGCTTAA